CCCGATGATCCTCGGGTGTCACGGGCTCTGGAAGCCCTCAGAGCAAGGCCGCCATAGCAGCGATGTTATGGCTTGCCCGGGTGAAGTGTGGGAGGGCTTCGTCGTCCTCGATGATCCTCCGGTTCATGTCATGGGACGCGGCGTGCGCAAGCCCACCGTCTCCGTGGCGCTCGATCTCTCGCTCAAGCTCCGCGCTTTCCTACTCGAGCTGGAGTCGTGCTTCTTCAAGCTCTTGGTGTCGCGCCCTCAGTTGCCCTACCCGCAGGTGAGGTGGGGCCCCTGCATCCCCCTCGACCTCATCCTCGAGGTCGTCTGTTGGGGTAGCCACTCCCTTGTGGATGCTTTCGATGTATCCCTCTGGATTACCTGCCATGAAACATTCCCACGAGGGGTGATGGCTCCCCCTGCTAGAGTTAGAGTCGGAGGGCGACTCCGATTCTCCTGCGAGAAGGTCGTGAAAAGATTCTACGACATATTCGGTCATCCCCACGAACTTGTTGTTTGTAGGGGATGGGGGCGTGCACTGCGCCACAAGGTGGCCAACGGTCTCTATGGCGTGGCGTAGACCGAACGGGAGCGTTGTCGGGGCGCTCTGAATGAGGTATTCTAGGGAGAGTGGCTCTCCTCCGGCAAGCTGTGTCATGACGTTGGCGGACGGGGAGGTGAGGCGGCGCAGGTCCTCCCAGGATGGTCGGGGTCCTAGGAAGGCGTCGAGCTAGCGCTCTAGCCTCCTATAATCGAAGCCGAGGAGCTGGTCGCTCTCGAGGGTGTGGGCCTCCAGTGCGTGCAGCTGCAGCTCCTCAAGCGCCTCGATGATCGTGTTGAGGCCGGCGGAGTGGAGAGGTTGGACGGCGGCGGGAACCTGCGCCAACTCTCCCTCCGTTGTAATGATGAAGTCTAGGTTTCTGAAGCGCACGTGGGTGCCCGGGACCCAGCTGACGCCGTGACTAGCCATCCAATGCCTGATGTGGACTTCGAGATGCGCAAAAATGTCCTACCTGGCGTGCCAACTGTCGGTGTTTTCGGACCACCGACGAGTAAATTTATATTTACGCGTCTGGCTCGGATGGTGTGCTCGGAGGACACAAGAGTTTATACTGATTCGGGCGGAACGTCCCTACGTCCAGTTCATTGCTGCTCGTATTACCGGCACTTGGTTTGCTTTAGGGGTTACAAACAGGCAAGAGAGGGAAAGGATCTCAAGTCTCTGGTGAAAGGAGTGAACGGGTGCTGAGAGCTCGATTGCCGCTCATTCGTGTGCTCGTGTTCTGATCTCATGTTTTTTCGCCCCCCCCCCTCCATGAGGCGCCCTGCTTCCCCTTTTATAAATGAAGAGAAAGCGTGGGTTACAGAGGAGAAAAAGTAGAACCAGAGAGAGAGGAAGGCTTCCAGGGTCGTCGGGTCCATCTTCTCCTTCATGCGGGTCCCGTTGATCCTGTAGATGTCAACAGGGACGGCTCCATGTCATGGCCCTATTCATCACTGGCGCCATGCGCGGGCGTCATCTACTGGTCATGGCACTCCACTCCGTCTCGGCGGATGTCGTGGTGAACTGACGCGTCTGTCAGCGTCCGTACGAGGGTTAGGCAGAATAGCACCGGCACGCCCGACGCTGTTCTTGATGTGAATCCCCAGGTATGGCCCGTCATGGCCACGGGTCACATCGAGGCGTGCCTGCCCCTTTCCTGGCGTGAGAGTTTTGACCCAGGGCCATACGCTTGGACCTGGAGTGGTCGACAGCGGTATGGGTCCCCGTCGGACGAGACGGAACCCGCGTCCTCGAGACCGGACGAGACGGAGCCTGAGGTCGGATGAGACGGAGCCCACGGCCTTGGGGTCGGATGAGGCGGAGGCTGCGGCCTTAGGGTCGGACGAGACAGAGCCCGCGGCATTAGGGTCGGGCGAGACGAAGGCCGCGGCCTTGATAAGTTCAAGCGATTCTACTTTGTTTTTTCCTCCATCGAACTGAATCTCAGTCTTTACATCCTCATAAGCCAACGGTGAAGACTGTTGCCCGGAAACATACTATATTTCAGACAACTGCCGTTGATAGTTTGGAACATGTTTGAGTGGTGACATGTGTCATTGGTAAGACTAATTAAGGCTGTGTTTAGTTCGCGAAATGAAAATTTTTTAATGTCACATCGGATGTTTCAGGGATGTCGGAAGGGGTTTTCGGATACTAATAAAAAAAAACTATTTACATAGCTCGCCTGGAAACTGCGAGACGAATTTATTAAGCCTAATTAATCCATCATTAGCGCATGTTAGTTACTGTAGCACTTATGGCTAATCATGGACTAATTAGTCTTAAAACATTCGTCTCGCGATTTCCAACCAAACTGTGCAATTAGTTTTTTTCGTCTATATTTAATACTCCATGCATATGCCACAAGATTCGATGTGATAGTTTGGGGTGAAAATTTTTGGGAACTAAACCAGGCCTAAGCATGCCTATAATACTCTAGTTTCCCCAGCTACTACTATTCTTTTCTTCTTCTTCTTTTTGTCTCCTTTGGTTTGCGCAGATAAGATACAGTTGGACAACGGCTGTCAGACTGATAGAAGCAGTGAGTACACTTTCAACCACTGCTACTAGTAACATATTGGATGATGGAGCACGGGAATCTTCCTCGGAAAAGCGTTACGCAATAGAAAACGAGGCAGGGCGTTGCTGCGCGTTCCATCAAGTAGAAAAATCCAATGCATGGGCGGGGGCCACGCTGCCTGCTGCGCGCTGGCAGTGCAGCCCTATACATCATCACCATGGCACGACCTCTCCATTTTTTCCCCCATGCAGGATGTCACCGAGCACGACGGGTATTATTATAGAGTTTATTACGATCTCATGGTCACAGAGCATATATGCATGGCCGTGCAGGTCGATCAGTCATATCAAACTTTCATGGCCACGCCCATGCATGCATATATTGATACGTCACGGCTCGATCGCACCATGGCCATGGCGGATGCACCGCGCGCACGTCTTTACAACTGCCCTTTATTAGCCCGACGGGAAAATATATAGTACGTACGTACTATATAGCATAAATAAACATGCATATCTCCGCTGATCTTCTTTTATACACTTGGATGGCATATGCAATTGGGACGCTTGGAAGAGAGACCAGGGCTTAGTTTGTCACGTGTAACCCCTAGAGTCGAATCTCATCAGTCTACTGATGATGAGCCCTGATTCATCACCAGAAGAAAATAATGAAAGTTATTATTGACCTCCTATTGCAATGCATGGTCGTCGTCGTCGATCATGTCAAAAGGGATTACGGCGTATATAGTATACTGATTAGTGCTGCACTTTTCTATTTGACCAGCTGGGCAGCCCCATGCGGCCGCGGATGGGCGGTGGCCACGTACACCGCATCCCCATTTGTTGCTTGGACCCCCAGACGGCAGAGACCTGCCGGACAGCGCGAGCAGATAAACCCTTTTCCTAACTCCTGACAGCCAGGCAGCACCAGCCCCGGCCGCTCCGGTCATCCGGAGCCTGACCCCAGACAAATCGAAACATCACACACGCATGCGCATCGTGACACCTGACACAGACCGCCAGCGAGTTAGTGACAGCACCAGCTGGGAACGGACGCCGCCGCGCCGAGTTGGTGAGCCACGGGCCGGCGAGATTACCTGTCAAGCAACTGCGAAAGCGTTGAAAATTTAGAGGGCGTAACCCCAGGCGGGGCTGGAATTTGCGCCTTCTTTTGGACTTGGTGCTCGCCCGCGTTGAATGCAGGGCAAAGGACTGACTCCGTGTCACGGCTGTGACAGTGTGTGAGTGAGTCCTGAGTCCTGGCTACTCCTGGCCTGGCTAATAAGCTGTGTTCCAGCTCCTGCGATACACATTCTTGGCTTCTATTTGAAGCAACACAAGTCCCTTTCTGCCGTAAAGAAAAGGGACGGACGGGCAAAGGCGGATAAACAATTCTTCTTCTTTTTTACAAAGACCCCCGCTGCACACTTTGGGAGCAACTGCGGGGGCGATGCAAAAGGGCGTCAAGAACAATCAGCCTATTCGGTTGGCTGGTTCGTTTCGTTGCTGGTTCATGAAGAAGTACCGCTGGCTGGTTTGTGTGAGAGAAAAATACTGTTTCGGCTGGAAATTTATGATTGCTTACGACAAGTCACAGCCAAACGAACAGGCTGAATCTAGTGTTCGAGGCTAATACAGCCTTACAGGTGTCTGACTGATGATATGCGGTGGATGCTGATTTTACCGTTTGATATACATCCATTAGTAGGTGCCAGTAATGTAGAAAGCGACCCACGTTCAGTATGGATGGGAGAAAAAAATTGCCGAGGAAAGTGACAGCCTCTAGGGTCGTCGTCGTCATCGTCACATGCTCTCCCCCAGCCGGGCGCGCCTCAAGTTGACCACGTCGATTAGTACAGATTCCAGCGCTATTGAGTGTAGTAGCAGCAGTGCTTTCTTGTTATGCACTTACGGACAAGGCCATCAGGTCACAGCTTTGCCTGGGCTAAATCGCGGGCCACTTGAGCAGTTCACCCTGCTAGCTCTGCTCGCCTCGCGTGCCACTCACCGCCAGCCCCGTGACTAATTCCAAGGCCTTGCATCGCACGCTGGGTGCTCACTGCCTCCGTGCCTCGCTGTGAATACTGAACTCCAGATGCAGAATTTCAGAACGCTAATTAAGTCATTATAAATAAATGTCCTAAAAAGTCTCGATTTTTCCGTAATGCAACAAAATAAGTAAGTAGCGCGAGGAAATTTTTTTGCTGTGATGACAGCGCCTCTTGTTTATCTCGCAACCAAAGAGAAAGCGGAGTGCTTCCGGCACCGTTTGCCTATAAAAAGTCCTACCAACTGCGCGTTCTGTTGAGAGACCCCAGAGCGCTCCATTCTAAAGGCGTGTAGCCGAAGCCCCTCCCCCTCCTGTAGCTGATATCCCCCTGCTCTGACCCCTCTCTGCTCACCCGCTGCCTTCCCCTGCTCGGCGAGCTCGCGGCGGCGGCATTCTCCGGCAATGGGGTGCAAGGCGTGCGAGAAGCCCAAGCCCAACTACCGCAAGGGCCTGTGGTCACCGGAGGAGGACCAGAAGCTCCGCGACTACATCCTCCTCCACGGCCACGGCTGCTGGAGCGCGCTCCCCGCGAAAGCCGGTAAGACCGACCATTCGCCGCCGCTGCATGCGTCTGCATTCCTGTCGAGTGTGTGACTGTGAGGAGCGGAATTGGGGTGGTTCGGGTGCATTGCGTCCGAAATTCAGAACCCCACCAGTGCCAATTGCCAATTGCTGTGAGCGAGAACAGAGCCGTGTTAGCAGAAGGAATTCTTCTCTTAAAATGATCATCGTTAAGGAGTGCTCCTGCTGTTTTTTTAATTATAAATGAATTCCTCTGGCCGGCTCACTCTCGAGTCCTGACTGGTCGTTTCTTTTCTGAAAATGAAAAAGAAAACTCTCTGCCTTACGTTTCGTCGCACGCAGTAGTTTAATTTCATCTGATCATAAACAAATGTGCATTAAGCATTGGTCTGAAAATTGAGGAATTCTTTCTGTGGCGTCGGCAGGGCTGCAGCGGAACGGCAAGAGCTGCAGGCTGCGGTGGATGAACTACCTTCGGCCGGGCCTGAAGCACGGCGTGTTCTCCCCGGAGGAGGAGGAGACGGTGATGAAACTCCACGCCACGCTCGGCAACAAGTAAGCAAGCACCACACCATCCCCGCACACTGCTGCTTGACACCGTCGGTCTAGTCCTTCCCACGCAAATGATTGAGACGACACACAGTTCTCCACGTTGCCCTGCCTGCCCTCTCGCTTTTGCTGGCATAATTTCCAGGCTTTTAACTATGTGTCATAAGACATTAAAAAAGTTAGTCATGTTTACTTCTTTTATAATCCGTCTTTTTCAGTTCGTTTTTTTAGCTGAAACAGTATTTTTCTCTCACAACAAATCAGCCGGAACAGTGTTTCGCTTGTTTTTTCAGCAAAGCGAATGGGCCATTGAGTTCTCCACGTGTGTGATGATTAGAACGGTTTTTTTTCTTTGACGCTATATATATATATATATTTGTTTATTGCTGGATGGAAATAGGTGTGGACCTTTAGTGGCGCAACAGGGACAAGTTGGGCGGCTAAATAATGAGAACTTAGAAACGCTAAATGCCATACAGTAGAGTTGCGTCCGGCTGCAAGTTATCTCAAACCCATTTTGCCCTCTCTTATTTTTTGAATTTCTGTACAGTAGTAGAGTATCGTTTTGGGGGCGTTGTACAGGGAATCGGGATAGCAACAACATCGTCCTTTCAGTATGTAGCACAAGCACACACAGGGACGACGACTTGGGGGGCCGTCGATTACTTGGACCAATCCGTGTCGCCCTGCGAGTTTAATGAGAACAGCTGCTTTGACAAATCCGAACTGGCACGTAGCAGCTAGTTGGCTCACGAGAAGATGAGATTCTTTACTGGGGGCCTCGCAATTATGCCCACCAGAAAAATGAAAGGCCCAGGGGCCCCACGTGAACAGATCCATGTTCGATTGAACTTGTTTGGCTTATAAGTCGTATTTTTCAGCTAATAAATAATATTTTTCTTTCATATCAAATTAGCTAATAGTATTTTCAATCATAACTTATCAGCCAAACGAGCCCAAACAAACAGAGCGGGGCTACATACACGCTTGTCACTTTCAACCGAGCGACACATTTTTCTTTTCTTTAGCCATCGGCACGGGAAAAGGCAGGAGGAAACCTCAGCCCGTAATGCAAAACGTTTGGTTTTCCACTAACCCCACCGACAGAAACAAGAGGAGCTTGGGTGAACTGCAAGGCTAGCTGTGCCTGTCTGTGCGTGCGTGCGTGACATGCGACACTTTTTTTTTCCCCACAAGTCCAACGGAGCTAGCTAGCGGCTTGGTTTATTGACGCCGATTTTGTGCTGCAGGTGGTCTAGGATCGCACGGCACTTGCCTGGCAGGACCGACAACGAGGTCAAGAACTACTGGAACTCGTACCTCAAGAAGAGGGTCGAGGGCAAGGAGGGACCGAGCACGTCGCCTGCGCCGGCGGCGTCCGCCGATTCAGACGACTCGCACTGCGTCAAGCCCGGGGACGACGGCACGGCGCAGGAGGTGGCGGGAGCCAACCGGCCGGCGGACTCCGGCTCGTCGGAGCGGCGCGAGTCGTCGTCGGCCGACTCGAGCTGCCTGACGGACCCGCCCGCCTGCAGGCCCCACGCCGCGCCCGTGGCGGCGCCCAAGGTCATGTTCGCGGACTGGCTGGCTGGACCTGGACCTGGACATGGACTACATGGATGGTGGTGGCCCGCCGCCGGCCGCAGCAGCAGCACCTGGTCTGGGCGCTGCGGGCGTGGCCAGCACGGGCGATCGCGATCAGCATCAGGTGTCCGTGCAGGTGGATGGGCCATTCGGTGACAGCGGCGCCAGCTGCTGGGAGTTTCAGGAGCACTTCGACGACGGCATCGATCAGATGCAGACGGCCGGCTTCTGCGACCTGCTCTCCATGAGCGACTACTTTGGCCTCAACTAGGCAGGCTCGACCCTGGTTCTCGTTGGTGATCGATCGGTCATTGGTGAAAGGATTTGCGTTTTTTATTTAAACTTTTTTTTTGTTATTAAAAGTTTCGATGAAAGGCTTGCTTGTGATTGTAAATTATTGTCGTGTACTAGTACGTATAGATATAGAAGAATTGAAAAGCAGATATAAAAGTCAAGGACCTACCTACCGTGTAAAATGTTGGTGTGTTTGTTGCTGTTGGCTTTGGAGACAGCACCGACGGGAATTATAGTTATATATAGGAATAGAAAATACTGAGGAGTTGCACGCTTGCAGCTACCTATTGGGCTGCACAGTTTGTGTTTTCTTAATTCGAAAATGAGACATCATCTTTTTGTGTCTTTATTTCTTTCTTTTCCAACTGATGGACATGGACTGATGGGAGCTCATTTATTGAGGCAATCATCTTCGCTATCACTGTATCAAATGGAAACATATACGCAAATCTCCGCTTTGAGGACACTACCTTTTCTTTTCTCTCCATCGTCGGCACTGGGGCTTAAACCACCAATCCTTATGTTGTAGTACTTGTACGTAGGAGTAACTAGCAAATATAGTGGCGTGTTATAGTAGACCGTATATAGCTTGTTATGTGCCAACTGAACAGCTTGCGGCAAGAGCCAAAGTGCTAATTTTTGCAAGAAAGCTCTAAAAACGAACTTCGAATGTCTTCCGGAATGGTGAGTTGACGTTTTCGGAGGGGCTCCAAATAGGAGATCAAGAGTGTGACACTCTAGTCTTTGGAAGAGAAACATGAAGATATCTCCGGGAGATCAAGGGGGTGTTTGGATGCCTTGCTGCTGCTTGTTTTGCTAGGCCAAAAAAATTGTGTTTGGTTTGTTTGTTGGTTTTCTTAATTTCCGTGCTGTAAAGGATTTGTGTTGCTAGCTTGGGCAAGCCAGAACTGCTCTCCACTATTGGCAAGGTTAGCCTTGCCCAGTGAGGTGAGGCGAGTTGCGTGGGCAAGAAAACCAAACCCCCCCCCCCCCCCCAAGACTCCTCAAAACGGAAGGAATGTGCCATTCAAATTCATCTATGTTCACATGGGAACCCAACAAACTATCTGGAGGGTAAGTGAAAGCGAGGGAGTGGCCACTGGCTTAGAAAGACAAGTCCGATTTGTACTCTCACGTGGGTTGGCGTAACCGATGCAGCCCACGCTCTCCAGCTCTTCTACTTTGCTCTCTCTACCCTCTAGTCTATCACCAACGTCAAGGCTCCATGAAATCCATGGCACCCCATGACTAGGTGGAGGCATTTTGAGGACAACCATATTGCAGTCATGCGCTCTAGCTCACCATCCAGCAGCAATGACGATCGTCACCGCACGTCCGCGCCGCCATCACCATCGCAATAAGAAAATGACCTTGGGGTCTCCCTAGGATTTTGCCCATTGTACGCCATCACAGTTCCCCAGTGCGTTTCCCTGCCACGTACCACCTCTCTCTTCTCCTACCATGTCAGTAGGACCAACCCTCCGCTACCGATGGACGTAGGTGTTGTCGAGGGAGGAGCAGGGCACAAGGGGCATGGTGAACATGACCAAGAGGACCACGACGCTGATTGCTTCGTCCCGTTTCCTTCCTATCTTTTTTACTCCTTGTACAATTTTGATAAGGCCAATCGAGCCGGTAGGGGACAAGTCGAGGACGATAAGTTGTCGGCTTTGGACTTCTCCTGTGTATCTATCCGTGAGGACAAGCCTTCTTATGCTAGTTTCTCTTTTGTAGAGATGATCGTCACTGAGCGTCACAACCATGGGTAAAGCTATCGTGGTCGGTGCCAATGGTCACCACACGCATCCACATCACCTTTGGATTTAATTCGCGTGAAACACTTACAATAAAAATGATTTTTGTATATGTGTCTTACTTAACTAGCCTAACACCAGATGTGTTGCGAGTCAGGGGCAGTTGGAATACATGTGGGTGACATAAACTAGGTCTGTTGACTATAAGTGGCACACATGATGATGTCCATCTACTGTTTGTGTGTTCAGAAACTATGTCAAAGATGGCTTGACTTGTGATTGCACATAATGGGGGTGCATGATAACGACGAGTGATGAAGGGTTGCAAACAAATGATTGTTATAGCAAAGGAGGCCTTTGAGATGCAACACCTCCATTATTTGCTTTAGTGTCTGTTTACACAAAATTTGGGAAGAAGAACACGCGGGAACTCGAAGCTTCCAAGATTGTGTCAATCAAGAAATCGATTGCATAAGAATCGATATCAGCTGATTTAGATGTGACACTGGAATCGGCTCTCTTCGAATGACGTCAGCAGATAACGACAATGAGCTACGGTTGGCGTCGGGAAATACATTTCGGACTCTACAAAAAGGAAAGATTAGGGCCCAAGTTATCTTAAGATAGAAATGTTTTCTTTTATATCAAAGATTGTAATAAGTCGTACTTGAATAGGATTCATGCTTAGGCTCCGGGTATAAAAAAATCCAATCAATCAATACAAGTTACCCTTTTATGCCAACCCTTAGGAGTAGGAGTAAAAGACATCCAGGATCAATCAATGAATTGGGCTAATTCTAAATTTCTTTTTTATGGTTAGCCCAATTAACTCCTTATGCCTAAAAAGTGTTTCTAAGAAGACAAAAGACTTGCAACCTATGTTCCAATCCTACTCTAGCATGGCAATTCTAAGAATGTAAATGACAAGAATTGAATTCAAAAGAGAGGAGGAAGCGATGTTTTGCCGAGGTATCGAGAGTCGCCACTCCCCACTAGTCCTCGTTAGAGCACCAGCATGCAAGGGTGTAGCTCCCCTTGATGGCGCAAGGATCAAGTGCTCTCTCTGGTTGATTCTTGACACTCCGTCACGGTGAATCACCCACAACCGCTCACAACTTGAGTTGGGTCATCCACAAGCTCTCCGGATGATCACCAAGCTCCCAATCACCACCAAGCCGTCTAGGTGATGGCGATCACCAAGAGTAACAAGCACGAACTCTCACTTGACCACGACAAGCCTATGAGAAGGGTGGATGCACACTTTGCTACTTTTGATCTCACTAATGAGGGCTCTCTTTGGGATTCTCAAATCTCAATCGCCTCACTAGGACCTTACTCTTCTTGGCACTCTCTAAGGTGTTTCTCAGCTGTTGGAATGAGCAAAAGTACCCCCACACATGAATGGAGGTGGTATTTATAACATGGGCTAAAAAACGAACCGTTATGTGCCTCTGCGGGTTGACCGGACGCTTTCAAGACAATCAAAAGGTCAAGATTACCGGACCGGACTGGCCAAGATCCGGTCCAAGATCGACCGGGACATGTCCGATCACGATTTTCCCTCTCTAGGTGGAGTCATCCTTTGGGTCTCGGCCATTCATTCACCTCTCAAAGATCCCGGTTAAGTTCGACTGCCTTTCTTCGAATTAGATCAAGGTCAAGTTCTACCTAGTGGCATCCTTTGGGTAGATTCATTAAGTTATCGATCTTGCTGATGTTTTTATCGTCATTAATTTTTAGCAACATCAACCTGCCCAGTCGAGATCGATCTAGATTGGCCTTACATCCTTTTAGTCCGTCGTTTACTTTGTTACAATACGATGTTTCTTACTTTGAGCGACGGGTTATGTCTCATTGGCTGTTCTATTTCGATCTTGATCATGCATAGTACGTGGTTAAGGCATGTCCAATCTTGAGGAGGTTTGTTGGTTGGTTAAATCTGGTCTATAGTTCGTTGTTATGGCTGCAACGATCCAGTCGATGCCCACTGATGGCACTTTAGATCGGAGGATGCTAGTTGGATAGATTTGTTCTCAATAGGCGTGATATTAACTGTTTGCTATGCCTGCATTGGCTAAATAATCGATCGCCTATGCTTTAACATCTATAGTGTGTCTTCATGATTCTATTAAATGTGAATAGATCTGTTTACTTTGAAGGTTTGATTTGTTGTCTTTATCACGGCTACCATCGATCCGGTCAAACCCTACTGTTAGAGATAGCATGTTAAGTCTGATGAGTTCATAGATTTGTCCATATTAAATAGTCGATTGTTCACATGTTGTAGTCCTTTTCCACCTGAATCGACTATTTCAGCCAATTCGCTTGAGCGTTCACACATAGCATATCTTTTGGAAAGCCTATCAATGTATAGATGGTTTTACGAATTTTTTGGTTTTGGTTTGTTATTATCATCATAGCTGCCATCGATCCGGTCAAACCTCACTATTGATGGTAATAGATTAGATTCAGAGCGTTTGCAGATCCATTCGTACTAAATAGTCGATTCATTCGCATGTTATATCCTTTCTCGTTAGATTCATCGACTCAATGCTTTATACTGGTAATATCCACCTAGCTGATGATTTTGCTTATATCCACGTGTATTATACCTGTCAACATAAAATCAATCGTGATCCACGAGGTTCACAGTCCGTAACAGCCGATTTCTTCGCGTATCGGCCATTTAGTCGATTTTTCCCGTCTGGCTACTCCTGAAGTGGCACACTTGAAACTGTTTGAGCAAAGACCGGCATGTTTCACCTTAAATTACTGATAAACTTTCTTTCCTTGTCAATTGTAGGTCAAATCATCTGGCACGCCTTGAGAGGAATACGCAGGATCGGCTAACCCTACGTTGAAGCCAAGCGGATCTCCAGAATCATCCTAAGCAAATCCTTCCAGCTTGCTGTGTGCCCGGCGCATCGACACATTTTTGCGCCAACACATATGTTGGCACGTCCGGTGGGACACCACAATCATCATGGCGACTTACAACAACAATGACATCCTTATAATACCTTATGAAGACCTACCTAATGAAGATAAAGATGTCATCAACAAAGCTATAGAAGAATTTCAGAACAAGTATTTGTTGTCCTACATCAAGACACGTGATAATAAAGTTGTTCAGAAATATCCACTATCAAGAGTTCTGTTGCATGGACAGTCGGATACGGACAAAGCTGAAGATATGTGTTTCTTCGTAGAAGCTATAAACAAATATGTTCATGATGCCATATTAAACCATAATACAGTCTTCTTAAACACATTCCACAACACCAAGAAATAGGTGTTTCATGGGTTTCCAATTGATCAGGTTGGGCCGGCTTATTACAACATTTCACATCCATCGACTTCAGGGGAATAATCAAGCCGGTACTAGCCATCAAGAAGCAATATTAGCTAGTAATAATGATGTCCAGGCAATTCAGAGCTCATCTAAGCAAATTCAAGGTACCACCACCAATCAAGTACAAAATAATCATGAATCAACGATGCAGTATGTGCAACAGCCGACGGGGCAAGGTCAAAACTAGATGGTTAATTTTGGCACATCAGGCCAAATACCATCATCTCAAAAAATAGCGCCATCAGTTCAAAGGATTCATAGAGATATAGATCCTAACATTTATAACCAGAGACTTCAAGCAGCAAACCAGCAAAGGACCCAGCAGATAGAGATTCCACAAGGATATCATTATGGCACATATTACAACACCCTTCACATGATTCCAAATCCAGGGTATCAAGGCACCCAAAATTTTAATCCATAGATGGGTCAACAATTGTAGAGAAATCCAAATTCAAATGCCGATAAGTTGTTGCTTAGAGTGACCGAGGTGATGAAGAATTAGTTTGGTTTGAAGCCAAAAGGGCAAACCTTCTCGTACAAATGCCCATATCTAGAGTGGTATAATTTGGTCATTGTCCCTACAAATTACAGGTTCCTAGAGTTTGCTAAGTTCACTGGCCAAGATAGCATAAGTACAATAGAACATGTCAGTTGGTATCTCACACAGTTAGGTGAAGCATCCATTGAAGAGGCCCATCGAGTTCGTTTTTTCTCCTTGTCTCTGTCAGGGTCAACCTTTACTTGGTTTTCATCTTTGCTAGTTAACTCCATTGCTAATTAGGCTGACCTAGAGAAGAAGTTTCATACATATTTTTATACTAGGACGGGAGAGAAGAAAATTACCAATTTGACTACCATAAGGCAGAGAACTAATGAATTAGGCACGAGTTTCTTCAGAGATTCTAAGAGACTAGGAATTTGTGCTTCTTATTAAACTTGACCGATGATCAACTAGCTGCTTTGGCCACTCAAGGAATGTTGCCAATGTAGAGAGAGAAGTTGTTGGGATAAGAGTTTGACAACTTAGGTTAGTTGGCTCAATGAGTGGTAGCACTCAATAGCCAATTTCAGAATATATGCGAGAGATACCCGATTCTAGAAGAGTGTCGCAATTGCCGAAACCCATAATCCATATTCAGTTGATGATGGCTATGAAGATGATGAAGAAAAAGAGGTCGTCGTGGCTAAATGGAATTAGGATAAGAAGACAGTAATGGTGCCAAATCCTTGGAGAAAAGGAATTGAAGAGAGCTATGATTTCGACGTCACAAAATCAAACAAGCTCTTCGAATTCTTGCTTGAGAAAGGATAGATCAAGTTGCCCGATAATCATGTTATGTTGCCCCCTAATCAGTTGAAGAATAAGAAGTTCTATAAATTTCATAACGCTACCTATCATTCCACTAATGAGTGTAGAGTTTTTTTGGCAACATATACAGAGAGCTATTCAGCAAGGATGGCTCAAATTTGATACACCTCGAAAGATAAAAGTTGATGATAATCCTTTTCCCAAGAGATCAGAATATGTTTGATGCTAGGTTGCTCAAAGAAAAGACTAAAGTTCTAACATCAACTAGATAAAGAGAAACTGGAACAGTCGATCCCGAAATGCAAATATCGGTGATGAATATAGAGAGATTAGAGGCACCGTGACCAATAA